TGTAACATCGCACAATCGGCTCTCGGGTTGAAACTCGTTTCTTATTTAGTAAATTTACTACTATGAGCTAGCCTGCTAAACGTGTTACAAACATTGCCTCATAAGAAAAACCGGTAGTAAAAAAATGGAAACTTTAAATCGCTAAGGCTTTTGAACAAGACAAGATGCAACTATAAAACTGTACGAATACATTTTCCCATACTAGCGTTATAAACTAACGGGGGTTTTTTCTTGAGTTTGTTATGAAAAAGGCGAGAAATATTACTTACAAGAAGTATTACATATGCAAATCCATAGTTTTGTCAAAGAAAGCGACAAAGTAGCTCCGTTGCTTTGTTGTTGAATAAATGGAAATTAAATGTAGGTTTAAAGTCGAATGTACATCGTTGCTCATTCAAAGTTTTAGCGTTTTGAATTTATGTATTTTATAGCAGACGAGCCAAAACATTAAATCGTCGATCGTCGATCGTTTGTCTACGATAAATCCAAAACGTTAAAACTTTGAATGAGCAACGATGTACATTCGACTTTAAGGCTACATTTAATCTCCATTTATTCAACAGCAAAGCAACGGAGCCACTTTGTCGCTTTCTTTGACAAAACTATGGATTTGCATATGTAATACTTCTTGTAAGTAATATTTCTCGCCTATTTCATAACAAAGTCAAGAAAAAACCCCCGTTAGTTTATAACGCTAATATGGGAAAATGTATTGGTACAGGTTTGTAGTTGTATCTTGTCTCGTTCAAAAGCCTTAACGATTTGAAATCTGTATATTTTACCATTGACCGGCAAAGGTTTCTCTATATTTGTAACATCGCACAATCGGCTCTCGGGTTGAAACTCGTTTCTTATTTAGTAAATTTACTACTATGAGCTAGCCTGCTTAACGTGTTACAAACATTGCCTCATAAGAAAAACCGATAGTAAAAAAATGCAAACCTTAAATCGCTAAGACTTTTGAACGAGACAAGATACAACTACAAACCTGTACCAATACATTTTCCCATACTAGCGTTATAAACTAACGGGGGTTTTTTCTTGACTTTGTTATAAAAAAGGCGAGAAATATTACTTACAAGAAGTATTACATATGCAAATCCATAACTTTGTCAAAGAAAGCAACAAAGTGACTCCGTTGCTTTGCCGTCGAATAAATGGAGACTAAATATAGCTTTAAAGTCGAATGTACATCGTTGCTTGTTCAAAGTTTTAGCGTTTTGAATTTATGTATTTTATAGCAGACGTAGCCAAAACATTAAATCGTCGATCGTCGATCGTTTGTCTACGATAAATCCAAAGCGCTAAGACTTTGAATGAGCAACGATGTACATTCGACTTTAAAGCTACATTTAATCTCCATTTATTCGACGGCAAAGCAACGGAGCCACTTTGTCGCTTTTTTTGACAAAACTATGGATTTGCATATGTAATACTTCTTGTAAGTAATATTTCTCGCCTTTTTCATAACAAAGTCAAGAAAAAACTCCCGTTAGTTTATAACGCTAGTATGGAAAAATGTATTTGTACAGGTTTGTAGTTGTATCTTGTCTCGTTCAAAAGTCTTAGCGATTTGAAATCTGTATAATTTTGCGAAGGTTTCCCTATATTTGTAACACTAATCTACAGTCGTACCTCGTTTATATCCCCACTTTGGGACAGGGATATATTCGAGGTGGGATACAACTGAGGTATATTTGTGTGCAACGTCATTTAAAGCAAGCTTGGATATAGGGGATACAAATGAGGTACGACTGTATATCGCCAGGACCAGTCATTTTTGCAGTCGAAATAACACAGGAACAAAATGGCTCTGTAACATCTTCCGTATAATAAAGTGAATTCATTAACTAAGAAAAAGGCAATTCGAATAATATAACAATGAGGTCTCAAAAAGCCACTTCCAGCTGTTAATAGGAGAGAGAGACAAAAGGTGGGCCATTTTGTCTATCAACTATCGACTATGATATATGAGCGATAACTTCTTATAATGGGTCTGAGTCTCAATACTTACAACCGACTTTTAGCAAATAAGCGTTTGTAGTTTGCCAGCGATTGATTAATCGGTTGGTTGCGCCGTCTCTGTATTAATCGGTTGGATGTGTTTGTCTTAATCGGATGCTGTCTTAATCGGTTAGACGTGTTGTCTTAATCGGATATTTGATGTGCTGTCTTAATCGGTTGGATGTGTTGTCTTAATCGGATGTTGTCTGAATCGGTTTTATTATTATTATGTATTGTCTTAATCGGTTGGCTTGCCATGTCTTAATTGGTTAGTTGTACAAGTCTTAATCGGTTAGTTGTACAAGTCTTAATCGGTTGGGTTACATAAATTAGCCACAATTACTTCCCGGCAGCTCATTCACTGACCATTAATTCCCAAAAGTAAATCCGGTGGGGTTATCAACTGATAAATATGTATGTTACACGTGATTTTTGACGGCTGTCTGACTTATTATTATCAAGGAATCCGACTTATCGAGTGTCCAGCTTATCGAGTATTATTGTTTCGTATATATAAGCACTCTCGATAAGTCGGACACTCGATAAGCCGGATTTAGCTTAACTCGGACAAACTTTTTTTCGACTATTTAAAAAAATTCGATAAGTCGCATATTAATATAAAATTGCGATAAACCTGTAAGTCGAACAAATGACTCTCGATAAGTCGGACCACGTAATTTTTTGAGAGATAATCTTTACCGTTTTAGTAAATACAATACAATTAATTATCCAATAATTTTGCTTCATCGTTTGCTGTAGTACAAAAAGTACCAGAAGCAGAAGAAGAAAGAGAAGAGGGAGAAGAAACCATAAGCAATATGGTTGTTTTGGATAGCATCAAAATATACTTGATATAAAGTGGACAGAATGAATGACCTAAAACATCAAATTGGAAGAAAACGAAATGCATTATTGTTATTTCCTATTAAATAGGGGAATGAAATTCGATAAATCGGACAAAATCTCCGCCCCGACGAGTCCGACTTATCGAGAGTGCCTATGTAATCTTTCCAATTTATTTGGCAAATGCAAATGAGAACCCCCCAAGTCGATATCACTTTCCTAAACTTGAAACAGAGCAACTAGTATCTGTTCGGCGACAATAATTATTTTGTTTCCCACGGCAATATACTTATACTATATTACTATTACATCGATCTTTGCTTTATTTTAGTTACACTGTGAAATTCAACTTTCACGAATCCATCTTGCCTGAAAGTTCGTTTAAGTGAGCTGTTGTGTAAAACAGATGGATCCGTATACTGCAGACACTAAAGTTTACCCTTCGCACGGTCAGATGAATCACATTTTCCAGATCAGCGGTGTGAGTACTTACTCCCTACACTCGCGATAGGTACAAAAAAACTCGCAATAGGTACTTACTCCCTACATTCTAACATCCATCAGGATTAAAAAAATAAGTATTTAAAATAGTATTGTATATCAAAGTATTCGGAGTTCGTTTTTATAACTATTTGATACACACAAGTTTAACGATAATACTTTTTCGAATAATTTATCAATTCTATTACTTATGCTTGAATCGATATTTGTAAAAGTTTGTATTCACACCCATCTAATCAATAAGGACAGACATGTAGAGCGATTTTTTTGCACGGAGATTACATAAACAAATATCTATTTGTAGCAGACTTGTTTACTCCTACGACAATATTGAATATATATTATGTCTTTGTATTTATTAGTCACATAAAAACATGGTGTCTCATAACATTAACATTCATAAGTACCAGAACAATATAATATGTACGTATTAAACGAGTCTAAGTAATTAAATCTAATATTACTCTTGAGTCTTAACAATAATAACTGACCCATTACTCGTTCCAAAAACGTTAGAATTACTTTTAAGAACTACTTTGACTGAACAACTAGCGCCCTCAGGGGCCCACGCAGGATCGACTTTAATGTCCTTTTGGCCAGTATTTGCATTGTTACCCTATAAAAATTTATCCAATTTATTAATAATAAGTTTTTTCGTTTGCATCAGATAATTTATTTATACTTACAGTTGTAGAAAATGCCGATTTACCATTGCAGATGATCTTAATCTTTACACCATCTGTTAAACAAATGTAAATGACCCGTTAACGGTTATTTTCAAGAAAAAAAATCAATAGCTTATAAGCGTTCGTACCTGTAGCTTTGCATTCGGTGCACCACCAGCTAACATTTTGCAAAGATTTTTGAGCCCAAAAGAAACCAGATCGTGGCGCAGAAACGTGCATAACGGGCGCTCTCTTGTCAAGGTCCGGGATTGGCGTGGAGGTTGCTAAAGTTGCAAACAGGACGGTGATAAGGACCAAAAGCATCAAAATTTTGTTTGCGGAAGCCATTTCTTGTAATAATTGAATAGTAAAGACTTGATGGGTAGAAACGTAGTAGAATCGTATATTTAACAAGCTAAAAGATTTGCTCGCTGAAGAAATCAGAAAAGCAAACTTGGCTACGTTTAAATAAGTTTTTTAATGGCTGTGTTTTTTATGCAATCATTAGTTAATTGGCGATTTTGGCGTTTGTTTGGCTATTTACGTTTTGTGAAGAAAACAATACTAGATACTATTATTAGCAAACCGTAGCATTATTAATTGAGTTATTTATAAACACAAGTTACTGGTTTTACGTTGATACAACATTGTAACTGTTCTAAAAATTGTACTAAGCGACAGTGTTTTAATCTTGTTTTGACTCGAATCAGACAAAGCTCGGATAAAAGAATGAATGATTGCTTCGAATGTAATAAAACTTTGTTGTCTATATAGTCGCACCAAGCGTCAATTGGTTCTGTTATCTTGACGTTAACAACAATCATGCACAACGACTTTTTGCTAAACTATAACCTGTTTATTCTTCAGTGTATTTCGAAAGGGTTAGCGTATTGACGCAAAGATTTGCAAACATTCAAATTTAGCTCGATTTTTAATTCGTGGAACTGGTCACAAGATCATCGGATCAACAATGTGGAAATTGATGTGCTGTGCATGCGTGGGACAAATTTACTGTTATGCAATCCCCCAACTTTTTAATTTCCTTGATTGGTTAAGATTACAGAGAATAAATAGAAAATCCGTACATAGTTTTGTGCTACTTGGCGTGTCGTACTTATCAGGAGAAATCAAAAGGTAATGTTGTACCGCCATGCATGGATTTCAGGAGAGAAAAAAAGGCAAGATGACGAAATCATGTGCTGTTATTTTTACGAACAAGTCTTATCGCTTGTTTGAACATACCTGAAACCCAAAGTGCGATCGTTCGTTTTCTGATTGTTATATTTAGCGACAAATTCTTAATACTTGGCGTAATGTAACACTCAGAAATAGCATCAAATAAATAGAGCCACATTACATGCTCTGTTGTGTTACTTAATTTAGGCGCTTTTGTTAAAGTCTTGATTGTTCTCCAAAATAACAAAAGTATTTATTTTTAGGTGGTCTACGTCGATAATACGTATGAAGGCTTTTGATGTAATTACATATTACCAATTTAGCCTTAGCTTAATGTCAAGGCGTAAGGCGGAAAGTGGGCAGATATTCTGTAAAAGTTTACCCTAAGCCTATCGCTAATAAAGTACAAACATGTTTAATCAATATAACTATTATAAGTCTTAATGGTTTACTAAACTATTAACCAAACGTCAATCTTCAGCTGACCCAGTTTTTATGTTGAAAATCGTCGTTGATTTCCAACAAAAACAAAAAGTAAAAATTTGCTGACATGAAACACGTATTATCACGATTCCGAAATGCTATGAACCCCCGCTGACAGTATTATTACAAGCATTGTTTTTTTTATTAATGTTGTGTAGCAGCTATGAGTCGTTTATTTAGTATAGTAAAACTTGTGGTCTTGTACGTGTATCTAGGGTTATAACAAACGATATAAGGGGTGCAAAACAAAATTGTGTAGACATTACATATGTTTGTTCAAGCACGAATATGAAGGTCTGAGGTGATTTGTTTTGTAGAGATCTTACAAAGATACATGGTTGTTGGAGACAATTGGTCGTAGAAATGGAGGCAAATATACAGACGAACGATTATCAATTTCATCTACGTGGTGTTTTTTAGGATTACCTGAACCGCACTAACAATTTCTTATAAGACAAGAGATAATTTCTCAGTAGGATGTTACAATTACGTAGCTGTAATACTGTAGTCTGTGAATACAGAATCAATAGTATCGTTTGTGAAAGAAGCGATATTAGATAAAACATGTTGATAAAAATGTTGCCGTTGAGATTATCAAAAGGGGTAAAAAAGGGCTATTATAGTATACACGTACAGTTCAAATATTTAATTATTATAACATTCTTGCTATGTAGTCGCTTATATAAGACCCGTTCTAAAATTTGGTTTCTTGCTTCTACTTATTCACTGAAATAAAATTCCCGTAAAAGTAAGACATGCTATTAGACATGCACAAAAAACCATTAGTATTAGCGACAGTAACATTATGTCGTTTATGAATATCAGTAACATTTATATTACTTTTCAATTCAATAACTGCTAGAAGTATTACTATTACTCGACATGACATGCTATAGAGTTTATATGACGTTTATAGACAATTGTTTGTATTAGTATAGTAAATGCCAAGAAGGAGTCGCTTGTTTACAAAGCACGGTCAAACGTAACCAATGTTCAGAATATAGATAGTGATCTTGTTTTATATTCACATCGGACTACGTAATTTTATCCAATTCTATACCACTCAAATACGGCACTGCCGGTTAAAAAAAGTGCACACAACGCGTTAGAAAGTGTACATGTATAAACAAACGTCAAGAAGAGCGGTGACTCCGAGTTGACACTTTGAGGTGGAGCACTCCAGGCTGACATTCCAGTGCAGGTACTCCAGGCTGATATTTCGGGGCGGGTCACTCTAGGTTCATGCTATATAACATCAATTAGATTGGTTATTTATCGCATTCATTTATTATCAATGCAAAAATGACATATTTAATTCCGATTTTATTGGCAAATTTTATAAAGACCAAAACAATTTATTTACATAATAACAACTAGTTACCAAGCACACAGGAAATCCCATGCGAAACCATAACAGTCAAATACTGCTAATACTAACTGTTGTCGAGCTAGCTTACACCCGTGAGGGCAGCGGTGTATTAACCGTTTTGGGACTTAGTCCTTTTCCGACGGAAGCTTTTGCTCTTCCTACTTCAAACTAAATACAATTGACAATTAGTGACCTTTAACTATGATTTATACTCACGATCTTTTTTATCGGTCTCGTATACGCTGTTCCTAGATTATTGTTTAACCTCGAATAATCACTTCGATTTCTTTGATGGGAATTAGTTTCAAAGCCTATCGGTTCGGGGAATTATCTTATCTAAACTATTAATAATAATTAAACAATAATCCTGTACTAAATAGAATTAATTGGCAAGTATTTGTTTTCTTTGATAAAACTATGGAGTTGCATATGTAGTACTTCTTGTAAGTAATATTTCTCGCCTCTTTCATAACAGAGCCAAGAAAAAAATTCTGTTAGTTTATAATGCTAGTGTAGGGATATGTATTTGTACAGTATTGTATTGTATCTTGCTTTGTCCAAAAGACTTGGCGATTTAAAGTTTGCGTTCTTTACTATTGGTAATATGAAGTGTTCTGACCATCAGGGATCAGTTGATTGTTATTGGTCCATCTTGCGATATATCAAAAAATCTATCACCTGATTAACTCTGACAATTATATATTTAATATTTTTACACATTCCATTTTACCCGCTAAATAACGCCCGCCTAAAATTCAGTAGGCACATCCAAGACAATAATAGCCCCCATCAAGAGTTTCTAAACTTTACATGGAAGTGACCTTCGATCAATTCTATCTGAGGAATGTTAATGCGTACCAAGTCTCCGACAGCGACCGTTTTCTATTCTTTACCACTGCTCTCATTCGCTCTACATTTTTATATACATTTTCATGCAAGTCTCCGTATTTCTTCATGGTTTGTGCGTAAAATGGGGACGTTGGCATATGATCAGGTGCATCAGTTTCGTTATTGTTTAAATTGCAATAGTCTACTATCCCATTGCTTACACATTCACTATCTTGTACGTCTACATTCTCTGGGTAGTCTTCCTCATCTCTGATTGGGGTCATAGAGCTCCTTCATTAGAGCAAAATTAAAGTGTGGTGCTTGACCAAATACAAGCTCGTACGAGTCGCTGTGCACGTTTGCGTATTCATCGCTCCTACAATGTAAGTTGATACGTTTATTATTACGTATACAAAGTGATACATTATCACCAGCAATATGTTGTACTCAAAGAAATAATAACACTGACATGCAATCTGAAACACCAGTCTTCATGCGCCTATTATCCTCCAACCAAGCCGAAAGTTTCATCTCTAGTATGCCATTCTCTTTCTCCACTAGCCCTTGTGATTGGGGATGACGTGGACGACTATTTATGATCACTGTTTTCGGGTAGAGCTATCAAAATTATTTGTGCCACAAACTCTTTCCCGTTGTCAGAACCAAATGTCATAAATATGTCGAACAAGAAGCTAGCAACATATTTCGCCTCTTTACTTTTCATTGGTTTTGCCCGGGAGAATTGAGTAAAATAATCTCTTGCATGAGTGATCTATTGATATTCTCCATCTGGGCATCCCTAGTATTTACTTGGCTAATTTTAAATATTTATACTTATATGATCTATTACTATACCTGCATTCTGGATAAAAACTCAAGCGGAATATATATTTCGATGTTATTATAACGATATAGTCTGAATGGCTTACACAGTCATAGGTTTTTCTGTAACCTGCATGCTGTAGTTCTTCATGCAGTTCCCCGATCACGTCATATAGACGCTCTTTAACGCATACTAATTTTTCTGACTTTTTCTCAGCTAAATGAACATATTCATGGTTGCTGGATGTTGTGAATCAGTTTCACCTAAGGCTTCCTTTACAACATCAGCAAGCTCTTGTGAAATTAACGATTTCCCTGAAACTTTGATCTAAATTGTTGAGATATTCCTCAACTAAGCTGTTGAATTTCCCAATGCTCATAAATGTAAATAAATTTACGGGCGTTTTTATGATAGTTTTATTAATAAATTGGTATTATTTCCTTGCGATCAAGAAACTATACAACAGATAATAGAAATTCTTAAAGATTTATCGACGCGTCTTAACGCGATCTAATCAATTGCACTGATCGTTCATGTGATAATTGAATGTTACATAAACAAACTAATCGTCTTCACCACTGTTCATTAAGACTATTTTATTTAGACTAGTCGAAATTTTGTTAATAATCGTTCTCATAAATGTAGAGCGTGTTGTTACATACTACTAATAATACATATAATTTTAACGTTAATTATGCGGAGATTAGTATTAAAGTTAGCCTTTATTTATAGTACGTTTGAATAGACATTAGAAAGCCGCTGCTGAGCTTACATGCGAATATTAAATATAAGTGCAACCTAACGTTCAGAGTTAATCAGGTGATAGGTTTTTTGATATATCGCAAGATGGACCAATAACAATCAACTGATCATCAGAACAGGAGCAATGTTGTAAGGTACGACAATAACGCAGTTGATATATTGGTGTTACCGTCGATAGTAAAAGATTACAAACTTCAAATCGCTAAGACTTTTGAACGAGACAAGATACAACTACAAACCTGTACCAACCCATTTTTCCATACTAGCGTTATAAATTAACAGAGTTTTTTTCTTGACTCTGTTATGCAAAAGGCGAGAAATACTACTTACAAGAAGTATTACATGTGCAAACCCATAGTTTTGTCAAAGAAAATGACAAAGTGGCTCCGTTGCTTTGCTATCAAATAGATAGAGAGCAAATGTAGCTTTAATGTCGAGTGTACATTGTTGCTCATTCAAAGTCTTAGCGCTTTGGATTTATCATAGACAAATGATCGACGATTTAATGCTTTAATGGTTTTGGCTAGTAATTGACAACTGACCAGCATTGCTTGATTTCTGGATTTGTCTGCTATAAGATACGATAAATTCAAAGCGCTAAGATTTTGAATGAGCAACAATGTACACTCGACATTAAAGCTACATTTACTCTCTATCTATTCGATAGCAAAGCAACGGGGCCACTTTGTCGTTTTCTTTGACAAAACTATGGGTTTGCATATGTAATACTTCTTGTAAGTAATATTTCTCGCCTTTTTTATAACAGAGTCAAGAAAAAAACTCTGTTAGTTTATAACGCTAATGTAGGGATATGTATACGTACAGTTTTGTAGTTGTATCTTACCTTATCCAAAAGCCTTAGCGATTTGAAGTTTATATTCTTTTACTATCGCTTTTTCTTATGAAGGTACGACATAATGACCTGGTTACTCCATATGGAGTAGCTTGTTATGGAAATATCTGCACAATAGTCCGTTCCCGATTGGTGGCTGCAAAATCATGCGATGTTTGCAAGGTTCTCCAAAGCAAGTGCAGTGTGAGACCCTCCCAAAAAAAAGATTTTATTTAAACAACGTAAAATGTAAAATGATTGTCAGATAAGGAGCTTTATATTTGTTTTATTTTGAACCACTTGTTTATAGCTATTTTTCGCCAAACATCGATTTAGAACGATGACTTCCAGATAAGAGACTAACTGTCAATTTATGCAACAATTGTGGGACCAAGGCATTTGGAGATTCATAAACGCTCACGGTATGGTTTATGATAGCATTAAAACCCCCGAACAATCTGGAACTGTTAACCCCAACCTTATGTTAAAGGATTAAACAAAGCTCTTTATTTCTGCATAATGGATAAGATAAATTTATACTGTTTTTCCCGAAATAATGGGCAACAATTTTATGTAGGCATACTAATACGATGAATTTTAGCGATTACGATTAATATTATTAGTACGTCAGATGATCACTTAAATGTATTACACAAACATGTAAATAGCTATGGACCATTTAGATTATACCGCAGTAATAATTTAGATATATAACAACCAAAGTTCCACTATAGGATTTAGTCGACTAATAAACCTACGATTGGAAATATTCAACTGACGTTCACTATGATCTCTAATGTCTTCTCTGATGGTAGAAATTCAGTCTGGTAATCTCTAGCTTTCGGCATATCTATCAAATGGCGGTTATCGCATGATGGCGATCATTGAGAAATTTGGATGCAAAGATTTGGGGGGTTTTTGACAGCAATGTCCCCTCTCAGGATAACCCCCAAATTGGTATGAGACGTATTGTAACAAATGATCTGCACAAATATTTGGGGTTTGAATTTCGAAGTCTGGGGTCTGGTACATGGCCCTTGTATTACTCAACTTCAAACTGTCGTAGAGAATGGTTTTACTAATGTACTTGAGGTAAAGACTACCAAGATGAGTAGAGGGGACTGCTGAGAACATGTCGATGAAAAAAAAAACCTTTTGTGTAACCATATCGTTAACTGCCATTTTGATAGATCAGGGCCCATATGCTGAATTTAATATTAATAGCTTAATCAGTTGTACGACAGCAACGTTAGCACCTTCAGTCAGTCACACAAATTCTGCAATCTTTGTCTGACAGTCTACCTTTTCCGTAAAACTAAGCTCTGTTTATTTTTTTTTTATGCTGTTGATCTGTCGTGTTTTAGGAAGGGCGCTAACTATATTTCGTATTTTGCTAAGTCCGGCTGCTTTCATATACAGTAACGTGCAAAAGTATCCTACCGGTTGTATCATCTAAACGTACATAATAATAACTCCTTAAATTTTCC